GTGGCAGAGGTTGTCTCATGGTTTAGGGCTGCATTTTAGCCAGGAGTGCTGGAGATCTTGTCAAAATTGAAATTATTAACACAAAAATACCATCTGGAAAGCAACTGATTGACAAAAGCTTCATTTGCCAGCATGACAATGACACGACAAACACAGTATATAGCAAAAGCATAACAGGATAGAAAAACATACAGTGGAACACTAACAGTCATGGATTGGCCTCCCCAGAGCCCGAGCCCCTTTATTATTGAAGCAATGTGGGATCACATTAACAGAGAACAAAACAAAAGCAAGCCAACACCCAAAGAAGAGGCTGTGTTGAAGAATAAAGACGGCTATACAAAATATTGACTTACACACTGCAAACAATGCCGTATTTTAGACACATTTTTTGGGGGATGTAGCTAATTTGGTCAACCGTGTGTGCAAGTTTGCACTGACGTTTCTAGCTCTAAAAGTTGGAGAAGTTTTAAAAAACAACCAATTAACAAATCGGGTGCAAACAATTCTAATTAGTTTTTCACCCTCACACATTAACAGTGTGATAAACTACCCCAAGAGGTTTGTTTTCACATTAGGTCCATTACATACTTTTCGTCTTTCACAAATAGAATGTTTAAGCTTTTCATTTAATATCTACTTTGTTGTTTGAGGGAGAATGTTTTTCATATTTTACATTTCCATGATACATCTCACTTAATGTAAATAATAGCATTTGGCAGCTGTGTGAATGTATTTTGCTGTGTGTTCAAACCCATCAACCCCAGGGCGGTCATTCTCACTTTCTAATGCATCAAAGAACAGCATGACTAGGACTAGGAGCTATATATGGAGGAGTCCTCTTCTCATTTGACTTTGTTGCTTGCATACAAGTCATACATATAGATGTCATCATAAGTATTTCTAGAATGCTTTAGCCTGCTGACCTTGTTGACCACTGGCTCAAATATGATGGGCCGAAACAAACCAAGAATGTAAATGACAAGGTGATCACACAGGTGATGGAAAACACCCAGGCTGCCCTTATTTGCATGTGTGTAGACACACCAGGTTGAGGAATTTGTTTTTCAAAAGAGCCCATGGCCTGAAAGACGTGTGGACTATACTGAGGTGTGCTCTCATTGCGCATTCACTGCATCCAGGATGTTTTTTCTAGTTCTGAAAAGTTAAGAGAATCCAAGAATAAAAGGGCAAAAAAGCCTAAAAAGGCTCTGTTAGTAAAAGAGAACACATTTGTTACAATATGCTAAAAAACACCCTCTTGTGTTGAAGAGATTTTTTAAAAAGTTGGCCACTTGTGCTGAAAAGCCATTTCAATTGCCGTGAGCTACAGTGATTTAGTTACTGATAAATAATTACCAGACACAGAAAGGATAAAAAAAAAAAAGGTCCAAAATGCAGCCAGAAATAACGCTGTGGAGAAGGCTTCAAATGTTTTTCTTTTTTATTACAAAGAACAATTCCTTTGTTGAAATTATATTTTATTAATTACGTCAAAAAGCAAAATGTGAGATGTTTTAAAACTCCTTACATGCTGCAAAGAAAACATATCAAAGAAGGAAGGAGCGAAGCAAGGAAACAGTTAAAAAAAAAAAGGCTGACGTATTACATTGCAGTATTTACATGTAACTAGGGAAGTAAGTAAATTATATTCATTGAGCAGTTTCCAAGACATAAATCACAAAATGCTGTACGTCAGAAAAAAACACCAGGACATCAAAAGGAAAAAAACAACTGAAATAAGACAGAAACAAAGTAAAAAGCAACAGAAATGCTGGTGTAACAAGACAAGTCTTCACATTCACGATTCCTCAGAGCTGCGAAGACTTCATTACTTTAGCTTTTAGTCTGGATTTTGAGATGATAACAAGCCCAGGCTGCAAGACCCTAACCCTGTGAAGCAGGCAGGTGATTACAATACAGAGCCCCGAAGGTGAAAACCAGGATTTTAAATTGGAATATTCATATGCTATAAGTATGGACTACACAAAAATTGCAATTATATTTAACAAAACAAATCTTTTTTCAAAATAGAGATACAGATACTAGAACAGATGGAGGAAAACATGCAAACTGAAGCAATGGGAGGAAGAGTTAGATTGGTACCATCCTTTAGGAAAACAGGTACATTTCATCCTGAGCCAGTGGCAACTGTGGACTATTCATTTCTGCAGTAAAACTCTTTGAGAAATGGTATCCATTAAGACATGAAAAGTCGTTTTAAATTGAAGTTTATATTTGAAAAGGAAAATGCAGTGATGCAATAGAGAAGTTCTCGGTCTAATTTTTACATAAATAACTTAATAAAATAAAGACATGTTTCCACTCCGTGTTAGAATATAAACATAATCACATCATAAAACAAAACATAATAAAATCTAAATCCAAAGCTATAAATGTAATATATCACCATGTAAATACAAAGGTGCTGTTTGACAGCAGCATTAACTCAGAGGATAGATGACTGAATAAAAGGCATTGACTTTGAATTCTACGTGCCCTATGTTATTGTTAAGATATTAATAGGTACTAATGGGTAGCTCATCTATAATGCAATATTGACTAGCTCGCCAGCTCGCCGTTTTATTAAGCACACCTATTCAGCTGCTCGTTAACATAGACTTAAAAGGTGATGCTAGGCTGGTGTGAATGCTTTGGGAACTGTTAATTTACTGAGATTTTCCTACATAACCATCTCTAGGGTTTATAGAAAATGGTGCAAAAATGAGAAAATAGCCAGTGTGGCGTAGTTCTTTCTGTGAAAAGGACTGGCTGATGTCAGATGTCAGAGGAGAATGACCAGACTGCTTTGCACTGATAGAAAGGCAACATTAATCCCAGTGACCACTGGCTACAATGAAGATATGCAGAAGAGCAGATGGACTACAGCAGCAAAAGACCACAACAGGTACCACTGCTGTCAACTAAGAACAAGAAACAGAGGCTATAGTTTGGATAGATTCACCAAAACTGGACAACAGGAGACTGGAAAACTGTTACTGGTCCAGTGAGTCTTTCATTCAGATGGTAGGATCAGAATTGAACATAAATAACATGACAGCATGGATCCATCCTGCTTTGTATCAGTGGTTGAGGGTGATGAAGGAGATCTTAGCACACTCTGGGTCCCTTAG